GGGGGGGGGGTTTAGGGTTCAGGGTTCAGGGTTTAGGGTTCAGGGTTTTTGTTTGATGCAGTGGCTCCTTTTCTGTGCAGCAGCAGTCGGGTTCAGGGTTTAGGGTTTAGGGTTTAGGGTAGGGGCAAACTATCTATCTATCTATCTATCTGTCTGGTCACACGTTCGTAAGTTACTGCCGGGGTTGCCGGAAGCCAGGATCTTGTGGCCTGGAATTAATGGGCTCTTAATAACGCCCGCCAGCAAAAGTCAGTAAAGTGCAGATATGCCTGTGAAAATGGCTTTCAGGAAAAATGTAGCCTTGAAACTCAGGGCGTCGCATGTTTTCTCCACATGGCTCCTGAATGTCATCCTCAGAGGCATATATGCACTGTCTTGACTTTTGCTGGCAGGCATGGGTGAGCCCATTTTCCCCCATAGAATCCTGGCTTCCCAACACCCCTAGCACCTGTCTTGACTTTTGCTGGCAGGCTAGGGTTCAGAGCCCATTTTTCCAGACAAAGTTGGCGGCACCAGAACGAAATTAGCCCTCCCCCCACCCCCCACTACCCTCCAAATTCTGTCATTGAAGCGCCTAGAATCCAATGCGAAAGCCTCCGCACCGGAAAACCTGTAGTGGTAGTCGTAACTTAGGCGCGTGTGTGGATCTATCTATCTATCTATCGAGATATCTGTGTATCTATCTATCTATCTATCTATCTATCTATCTATCTATCTATATATGTATATATATATATATATATCTGTTTATCTAACTCTACCCATACCTATACCTATACCATCCGATTCCTATACTTCTGCCTATACATATGCATATTATATACATGTACATATACATATAAACACATCACGTATATATATATATATATATATATATATATATTTATGAACATACATACACACATACATATACATATACACATAAACATACATATACATATGCATGCATGTATGTATGCATGTACGCATGTATGCATGCACGTATGCATGCATGGATGGACGGATGTATACAAGCGGACCCTAATTTTGAGAAGTACCCATACATAAGCCCAAACAATTCCAGACCAGAATCACTACAAACCCTAGGCGGAAACCGGAACTCGAACCCCACAGTTCCCAAGCCCTGGATTGTATGTGCTTATGGTACCGGCCTGGTCATCGCGAAGAGCTCCAGCTGCTACAGGTGCAGCATGGCTTGGCAAAATGACCATTTCGGCCTAAACCCTAAACCCTAAACCCTAAACCCTAAACCCGGAGAGGGCTACTCCATGTCAGCTTTGGGTGTGCGATCTTTTGACGATTTTGGAGGATCCACACTTCGATCTTATGGAGCTTATAGAGTGCCGAACTAACATGTTAAAGGTTGGCTTGTGGTTTCCCGTAGCCGGTACGGAAACACCAAATTCACCAAATCCGTTCGAAACGGTGCAGAGTATGGTATATGTGACCTGCATACTTGTACGTCTATAGGTGCTAGTATACATGGTGCTAAAGCACAACTGCGGGAATGTCAGTCCGCCCATATCTTCCGGCCTACAGCAACGCGCTATGTTTTCCTTTTGCATGTTGGGTGCAGTGGGCATTAGGACTTAGTCTGCATGCTTGTCTTTTGTAGTTTGAACTTTTGCTGATGGTTTGGCTTCCGGGCAGGTAGGGTTTAGGGTGTAGGTCTGCACCAGGATGCCGCATGCGGCTGCGGAAGTTGGTGCCGAGTTGTTGAATCAAAAGCTCCATTCGGCACATGTTGTTGCGTTCGACGCTTTCAGTTCCCTTATACATGAGTCTCGCCAACCCAAGTCAACTCATGTGGCTACATAGTGCAAACCAGCGCGCCAACAAAGCCAGCGACAGCCGCATAGAATGCCTACACAGCCCGCTACAAAACAATAACCAGAACTATCAGCGCATGGCACATGCGCACAGCACGCACACACACACACACACATGCAAGTACGTACACGTGCACGCGTATGAGTGTGCTTAATTACACAAGCGCTTATATGCATGTTGACACACGTGCATGCATTGGGATAATGTACATGTGCAGGATTCCTAGTTCATGTTGAGAGCCTTCATAGGGATTAGTCACGCATGCGTGTATGCAGCCCTGCCCTACACAGCAAGCACTTTGGACATGGTCGTCATGGTTCGGCATTTATCGGTTCTGAGGTGCGAGATGCGACTGTATCTGGGCACTTCGACAACTTGCAATCTTTCCCTCGCGCAGGATGCAAATGCTTTCTGGCAAAGAGCGCAAAGGCTTCAAGGATGTGCTAGGGTTCGGGTCGTTTAGATTCGTAGGGCTTCTGACGTCACAACTACAATATTAAAACGAGCGAGACTAGCAACAGGCAAGTCGTGGCAATTTGTTTGATGCTGGCAGGTTCAGGGCTGGAAAGCTCGCACGCTAAGTGGCGTCGGGTCCAGTGCTATCTATGGGGGGTTCGCATATGTGAAACGTTTAGGAGTTGCGAGGAATTCGCAGCATATTCCGCAAAACCACCCTGCATTCTCACAACACCACAGCCCTATTCCACTTATGGAGACCCTATGATATAAGTCAGTATAGGCCTCAGCGACACTAATTCGGAAAGGCTGCAGGTGAGAATCCATCGCACCCGTATCCTCAGGCTCAAACCAGCCACACTTCGTCCCCAAGCCGAAACCCTAAATCCCATATGCGCGAAAAAAGATCGGAAGTAGTCCAACAGCCTCGTGCTCTGAACCCTGAATTCTGAACCCTAAACTTCGGTTTAAGGTCTGAATTAGGGCTATAGGGGATAGTAAAACTATATGCCCTGCATCCTAGACCCTGCACCCTTGGCCCTAAACCCTAAACCAATATGCCCTGAACCCTGATCCCGGTTGGCGGGCGAAATCTTTTGGATGCGTCACCGCTTTGGCGTCGCTCGGTGCTTTGCCTGCAAAGCCAATCAAGGGTTTAGGGTTTAGGGCAACTGGGCACTTACCCGAAGGCCCAGGTGCTTGTATAATGGACGACTGCACAGACGCCTAGTTCTTTATTTAATGAGCTACACATTAAACGACGGTTGTGTATGAATGGATATACGAGGACCAATGGCCAGTTGGAATTTTCTGCAAAGGCGTGCTTGTTGGTTTATGCTCATATGGGTAGTTCTCTAAATTAGGGTCCCTTTTAGGGTCCTTTTATAAGGGTGCCGTACTATATGGGACCTAAAAAAGCACCCTAATTTAGAAAACTACCAATATGCAGATCACTAGTTAATCACCTGGGATCCTGGTACAAGACCTTGGTAGACTTGACTAGAACTGCCTTGGAGAGGAATAGGTTAAGTCAGAGCTCCCCTAAACCCTAAAACCCTAGACCCCAAACCCCCCAAACCCTAAACCCTAAAATCCTAAACCCTAAACCACGAAAGCAAGCACGAAGCCCCGACCTGAGATTAACTGTATCAGAGCCTTGCAAGGCTCTCAAACCTTGAGACCTCGGGGCTTAGGCTGAAGGGCTTAAGGCTCCCTGCAGGGTTCTACAAGGGTTTAGAGCTTTGTTTACGGCAAAGTCTAGGGTTCCTTTAAGGGTTCTACAGGGGTTTACGGTTTAGGGTTTAAGGTTTAGGGTAGTTGGTTCCTTTAAGGGTTCTACGGTTCAGGGTTTAAGGTTTAGGGCAGTTGGTTCCCTTAAGGGTTCTACAAGGGTTTAGCGTCATGGGTCTAGGGTTCCTTTAAGGGTCTAAGGGTTCTACAGGAGTTTAGGGTTTAAGGTTTGGGATAGTTCAGACAACGAAGCAAGAAATAAGTTAATACAGCAGCTCGCAAAACAAGGCAAGTGAAAACAATCCTTACACACAAGATGCCAATCAAGACAAAACACAGTAAACTAGACAATCCCATGATTACGAGCACAGGTTCCTAAGTCTTAGTAACGAGGCATGGAGCAAACTTGAATCAACAAAGGTGTGAAGTTAAACTTCTGAATTAGAGAGCTGAAGAAGAAATCGGAAGGGAGGGGGGGGATCTCACCCGTGCTTCTCCCCTGGGCCTGGGTGGGTGCGGGAAGTGGGTACCCCTGCGAGGCAGTGGAAAATGTTTGAGAATTTCTACCAGTTCAACAAGACTCAATAAGTTCCAATTGGATTCGACAAGGTTCAATAAGATTCAACTCTGTTCAATAAGGTTTTAGTAACATTTTACCTGGCCCAGTTTGACAAACATATGCGCACATAGGCATTCCACTCTTAGCAAGCACTGAGGGTTTGAAGCTCCGAGGTGTAAAGCCCTGCAGGGTTTCAATTCAAGTCCTCTGGTTCTTCCAAGCGACCGGGTACGAGTGTCATAGAGGCGGATGGAGACACATGACGGTACGGAGAAACAAGTATCTTGGCCATAGTAATATTGCCGTATTCAAAAGAATAGTGATAGCACCAAGGGAAACAATCGTGAATCCATGGCGACGGTCAAACCTCACCGTGCTCTAGCAGGCAAACTACCATAAGTGCGGATCTTGGGATCTTGGGATCTTGGGCTAGGGTCTAGGGTTTAGGGTTCAGGGTTTAGGGTTTAGGGCAAACCAACATCTTGGGTTGGGGTTTCGGGTTAGGAGTAGAAACGGAGAACAGCCTACAGTATTTACAGTGTGGGAACTACGGCTTCCACAGGTTGACGACACCCTACCACCCTCAACCCTAAACCTTAAATCCCCAAGGCTGCTAACCCTAAACCCTTAAAATCCTTAAATCCCACCCTAAACCCTAAATCCTTAAACCCCCAAGGCTGCTTCCCGGACCCTCGGCGACCCTGCACTAGCCACGAGCCTGATAGACCTGGCGCACGAAGGACTTCCAGCCAGCGAAATCGAATCGCAACCTTCCATCCCTGCACCATGCGTTACGGTTCAGGGTTTAGGGTTTAGGGTTTAGGGTTTAGGATTTAGGGTTTAGGGTTCAGGGTTTAGGGTTTACCCCCTAAACCCCAAACCCCTACACCCCTAAACGCTAAACCTCTAAACCCTAAAACCTATAGTAGCATGTTCACCCGCTCTTAGAGTGCACCGGGTCAGAAGCCTTGCAACAAGTCCCGCACAGGTGTTGGGAAACCTTTGTGGAGCACAGCAAACTCTGCTACATGCAGATATATGCATACATATACATGTGTATATATATATATATATAATATGATATGTAGATACCGTAGATGCTGAAACTCTAAAATCTCGACGACCCTCCTCGCCCCGTACAATGTCGAATCCGGTTGAAGTAGGTGACCCACTTGATTCGTGCTCCGGCCAGGGCCACTGCAGGGTTTGGGCATTTTTTGGGTGACCCACACATGTGGCTTCGGCCGTATCTTTCTCTTGTTGGTTCAATGTCCCTTCTGCTTATGTTCGGTGTTAGTTGATTAGAAGATATATATAACAGCAATTGGCCTTGGGGTTTAGGATGTCGATGCCCATCCCGAAAACTCGGAGATGGAAACCCCGGCAAAATACTTCTGCAGCACCGGCCGATCAGAAAATGGAACCTAAACATAAACCCTAAAGCCCTAGCCTAAACCCAAAAAACCCTGAAGCCCTAAACCCGAAACCCTATAAACCCTAAAGCCCTAGCCTAAACCCTATAAACCCTGAAGCCCCAGCCTAAACCCTATAAACCCTGAAGCCCTAAACTATGCAACCGTGAAGAAGCCGAAGAGGCCCGACCCCTGAACTCTACAGGTCCCAGACCTCAAGGCCCAACCACTCGAAAGCACTAATCACGGTTTAGGGTTTAGGGTTTAGGGTTTAGGGTTTAGGGTAATTTAAAAGCATGCAGCACCTCCCCCCCCCCCAACAAGAACGGTTTAGGGTTTAGGGTTTAGGGTTTAGGGTTTAGGGTTTGCTGAACTCCAGATGCTGAAGCCTCTAATCCAAGAACCCGGAGTAAACCATTGGCACCAGAGAAGCCTAAACCCTAAACCCAACCGGCGCAAAAGCAGCTCTACGACGAAGAGTTTAGGGTTTAGGGTTGGCCCACTGAACCCTAAACCCTATTCCCTCCAAGCCCGAAACTCGAAACCTTAAACCCTATTCCTTCTAAGCCCTAAACACTAAACCCTAATCAATATAAGCCCCGGACCCTAAACCCTAAACCCTATTCCCTTTAAGCCCTACACCCGAAACCCTAAACCCCAAACCCTATTCCA